AAAAAAAAAAACAAAATCTGCACAATTATTCAATAGAATCACTGGAAAACTATAGTTTTTCAGCGACAGCGCTGGGATTTTCTATGAATTTTTTGACCTACGTGACAAATTTATACTCGGGCCCTACCATACCAACAGTTCCGTACGCTCCATCGTAGTCCATGCGCCACCCCTACGAATTTTGCTGTTGAACACTTTACATTGGCCCTGCTGATCTCCCCTATAATCTCTGATTCACAGTCATGGGTCCTTCGGGGATGTGTTGTCGATTGTTATTATGATGAGTCCATAACCATGATTGAAGTTGATTTGGGACTCACATAGAATGATTATGCATTTATTAGCCGAATTCTTTGCATTCAATGGTTATGAAGAAATCAGTCGTCACGACTTGTGTCACCACCTTTTCCATTAATTCCCTCCGAACAGTATACTTTTCTTGATAGTACAGAGAAACACATAACTTCTACATGTACCTTCACCTATCCAACCGCCCAAATTGTGCTTCCAATATTTAATGTCTTATTTGCACTAAATTAATGGTATCTGGGAAATTTTTCCGTTGTCACAAAAATAACGCATAATTAGTAGATTACGCAATTTGAGTCAAACAATCACTATTTTCAGCCCAAAGCGTCAGATGCAATTTTAAGACCTAATTGAATTCAAAATGTTTTTCACCAGTACATAAAAAGCACATCATTAACACATTATTAACCGCCCATCGATTTCCCCCTAATTGTGACCCTGTTTCGCCAAATTCACGGGGGTATCCTTTCGTCACTCCGTCTGCACGGCAATGCTCCGCGGACGCTTTCACGGATGTAATAGTAAAAAATATTGTTTGTCACTAACGACTTCTCGCACGCAGGTGGATAAACTTTTTCCTTTACCTAAGGGTACTTGCACTAATCCATTATGAATAATCTGTCTCTGCTGCGCTACGTTGAATCCACACAGGGTTTCACAAAGCTGGAGCATTTTTATAGTTAAATTTCGACTGAAAATAAAAATAAGTTTTTCAATGCAATGTAATTGTACTCGTTGTAATTAATCAAAAAATATAACGAAGACCTTACGATTTTCTAATGTCAGTTAGACCGTAATCTCTGGGGTAATTCCAAGCAGGTTTTTCTGGATTTTTTCTTTTAGGTATCTTCTCCTGATGTGCATCATAAATGTTCGATGAACGAATAATTCTAGAAATTCCATTGGAATGTTAAATTTTAATATGTTTTCAGAGCATTTTTCATAAGGATGAACAAAGTAAAACCGACTGTCTTGAATGTTTGCACTAATCTCTGGATATTTTGCATGCTCAAAACCAAGTCCATCTCACTGACAGTTTGTTCAACAAATATTTAAGGGGGGACGACCCCGGTAAAATTTGAAAGTTTTCGGTGGATCTGGGGACTTATTGAGCGACTTTAGTTATATGATGGGATATGTTAAAAAGTGGGAAAAATCCCGGATCCAATCGGTTTTGCCCCGTACTTCCACAGAAAACGTCGTTTTTCGTGTTTCTACCTTTAAAACGTTCCTCGTTCCCCAATTTTGATCCGATTTGATTTTTTTTCGTCAAAATGTTCGTGAGACTCCAAAGAACAAAGTTAAGCTTCCGTTTTACCATCCATTATATAGATCATAAAAAAATCGAAAAAAACTAAAACAAAATTTTCATCACGCTGTGTGTAAAGTGACATTTTACGCACGCTCCGCGTGCGCAAAACCCCACTTCCCACACATTGCGATGAAAAATGGGGTTCGATACTGGCGGGAAAAGTGTTTTTAGACTCGTGGGATTACCTATATTACTCCCCTTCGGCTCGTGCTATAAACCTCCCACGAGCACAAAAACATTTTCCCGCAATCGTATCGAAATATAGGTACTATAAAGAAAGGGTTTTCCTTCTGATCGTCAACTATTCAAAATAAAGACTTTTCAGGCATAATGCAAAGACAATCAGAAGGGAAAACCCTTTTTTTCGGTTTTTTCGTTGTTTTTTTTAGTTTTTTTTTCGATTTTCTCATGATCGATATAATGGATCGTAAAACGGAAGCTTAACTTTGTTCTTTGNGACTTTTCAGGCATAATGCAAAGACAATCAGAAGGGAAAACCCTTTTTTTCGGTTTTTTCGTTGTTTTTTTTTTGTTTTTTTTTCGATTTTCTCATGATCGATATAATGGATCGTAAAACGGAAGCTTAACTTTGTTCTTTGGAGTCTCACGAACATTTTGAAAAAAAAATATCAAATCGGATCAAAATTGGGGAACGAAGAACGTTTTAAAGGTAGAAACATGAAAATCGACATTTTCCGTAGAAGTACGGGGCAAAACCGATTGCGTCCAGGAACATATCCCATCATATAACTAAAGTAGGTCAATAAGTCCCTAGATCCACCGAAGACTTTCAAATTTCGCCGAGGTTCCCCCTTAAGATTAAAAAGGCACGGCTTGATAGTACTCCATGAAATCGAGAAGATCCAAATCGCAATATCCTTCCCTGATTTTTATCTCACTTCTCACCTCCTGACATAAAATGTTGGAAAATTCTCTCATAATTACCTTTGAACAGTCTCATCGACCTCTTCACTAGTATTCTCTAGCAAACTCTCAACTTTCTCTGGCAATGAGTCTTTAATTAGCAGAGATTTCGTGAGCACCTGCGCCTGTTGAGTCCCCTGAACTAATAAATCGTGCCCCATGACTTTCAAACATGGTCTTAATTTATAATCTGGGTGATTCTCGTCCTTAGGGATTGGCGGTTGATTTGGCATATGCTCGAAGTATTGCGATACACTGAATGAATGAATTAAAAACGAATACATTCGCAATCTATGTTCATTATGCATTGATGTCGATGATGAGTGATTTTAGGCAAAGATGCCTTTTTTGAAATTGACAGTGAATATAATGAGTAGTATTTCCTGATCATTTTTTCTGACAACATTCATCACCTGGACTATTCACTTTTAATGGCAAATAATATTGTAAACAGGCTGAACAGTTCTCAATTGTGAAATTATTACTTCTCAAATTTCGATTTACTTACTCTATACGTTCCTTGATGGGGTTGACAATGTCTAACGGATCTACGATAGGAATTCCCATTTTAGCAAGATGGAATTCTGTGTGAGTTTCAAGTGGTCTTTTCTTCGTCGCCATGAACCAGTTGAATTTGATCATCCTTCCCAGATGCTGTCTACATAAGGCCTGAGTGATCTTCATCTTGTAGAATGTTCTACAATCAATAACACAATTTACAACATGCCAGCTTTTTTAGCACAGGGATGAGACTGCCACCACTAGAAAAATTTTTGCACGGTAATTTTAAAAATCCGTCCGCCAAATTTCATAAACTAACCTAGTTTTTGAGTGAAAAAATGTTCAAGTCCTCAAAACGGCACAAAATGGTCTTTTCAAAATTGAAAAAAAAGGCAACGAAAAGACCAGAAATTATAGTTTTAGATGGAGTAGGGTAGTTTTCATCAAAAGTAGGAAATTATTCCTAATAAATTCCGCAATTTTTCAGTAAAATTGCATTTATTTTTTGAAAGAGTGCCATAGCAGCAATAGTCTGAAGTTGCATCACAACGTGGGATTTCAACCGCCAGATTTAAAGGTTAAAATGCTATAAACAACTTTGCACACCGGAAGAGAATATGCACCGAAATTCATTACATGTTTTGCTTGAGATATATACAAAATGCATGAAATGTATCTATTCAACAAATTTACGGAATAAGATTTATGAGTGAAACATACTTAAATCCAGAAAAAAGGTATACCTAAATTACCGGATCTCAAGGACTGTCTTTACTTCAACTGATTAAATTCAACTTATTAAATCCCCATTCTTATTGATTTATTTGCATTGTAGTATCTCCATAAACCGTTCAGCCAAAGGTTTGGCTGATTCTTGACGAGAAAAATCAGAATTCTCTTTTCATCGAGGGTTAGATTTCATTCCATGCTCTTGGAGACGATTTAATGAAGAAATGAAATGGACAAATAATAGCCCTTAAATTTAGCGGTTGAAATCCATGTAGCGATGCAACTTCAGACTATAGCCGCGACGATATTTTTTCGAAAAATAAATGATATTTTACTTTGAAACTAGTAGGATTGCTTTTGTATTGAACTACCGCCGCGACGTTGATGCTCTTTTATTATGTCTTTTTTTATTGTTCCTTTTAACAATTAATGATTCATCATCGTCCCATTATGCCAAGTGTTAACACTCACGAAAAAAATTCATAGAAATTCCTAGCGAATTCGCTAGACAATTCTATTATATTTCTACTGAACTTTTATTAGTTTTTGACCGTTTTCATCGAAATGTTCAATAGAACATATTCTATAGAAAAAATCAATAGAATTCTATTTTTCTGTACAACTTATTCTTTAGAGATATTTTCGGTGGAATTTCCTTGGCTCACATTCTCTAAGTTTTTTTTGTTTAACTTTCTTGATGAACAGAAAAGAAAAAATGGAGTGAAAAAAACTTGGAAAATTTCAGTCGAGGAAATTTCATAGAAAATATCTCAATAGAATAAGCTGTATAGAAAAATATATTTCTATTGAGTTTTTCTACAGAATACTTTTTTTATTGACCATTTCAATAGAAGTGGCCAGAAGCTAATAGAAAGTTCAATAGAAATCCAATAGAATTGTCTAGCGAATTCGCCAGGATTTTCTACTGAATTTTTTCATATGTGAAGATTAATGGTAATAATGCGTCTCGGTTAATCAATTGTTTAACCCTCTATTGTAAAAGTCTGCCTGAGTAGTACGTTTTTTGAGAATTTTTGTGCAATTGTTGTGAAAATCCGAGATATTTCTCAAAGTGGTTCTCCTTTCTCATTTCAATCAGAGTGCAGTAGTCAGTCACGTGACTCCTTCACATCAGTTTTGTTCAGGAAATTCCGCCTTTTCTTTTCAATTGTTTTCCCATTGTTTATCCAAAAATTCTAGAACATTCAAGAACTTTATCAAATTTTTTTTAGAAAACCTCATAATTGTTTTGAATTCTTTGGAAAACTCCCAAATTATCCTAGATTCGGATGAAAAAGCCGACGACTCTCTAATTTTTGAGGGAACTTGCAAACTTCCTTGAAGATTCTATAAATCATCCTCTATTCACCTTTTGAGAGATGAATGTTATGAAGAAGCTGAAATATATATTCATTAATGAATGAATTAATTTCTGAAAATGTTCTCTTAATGAGTGCTCACATCGGGAATAGGACCTACCCTATAATTTTCATATTCCTAGTGTTAATAGTTTCGGATTTGCATTATTATTTAAGGCAACCTTTTCACATTTCTAACGCAATTGCGGCCGTGATATTGGTGGCCCTTCCATTATACCCTTTTTTTCCGTGTCAGATTCAATATTTCTTATTTCGATTCATTGTTAGCTGTGAAATTTATTCATTAGCTATGAAATTTTCATATTGCAATGAGTGATTTGCGGATGTGGTAATTCCTATGCTCATTGAAGGAGATTTTGATCATAATTACAATCAAATTTCTTCTTATACATAATTCAGAGAGTAAAGTGTTGGAATTCAATGTTTGGTGATACTCTGATAAAGGTGTGTGCCAACACTGCTATAATTTTTTTAATTCAGTTCACTCGGTAGTTCAGTTAATCTGCTGTTTATATTATCAATACGATTTCGTGCTTAAAATATCGTCACCTCATGTTTTTAGCACCGAACAAAAAATTGAAACTTAAAATGACAGTTTGACTTCTCCATCCTTTCTCATGAATTTAAAATTCATGTTAATGGTTCAGATAATATTACGTAAATATCATCATTCTTGTTCTCTGCTGTTATGGAATATTGAGTCATAGCTTTTTATTCATAATAGAATTTTTTAATTTAGATATTATTATTATTCGTTCACAGTAAAAAAAAATAGATCATCACTTTCACTGTGTTGCATTCAGATTCTCCTATACTTAACGTAAAAAACGTCAGATAATCTGATAATTCTGGCTATTGATTCTAATCAACGTTATTTGGAGAAAATTTTAGTAAACTCAACATTAAGAAAAATGAATCATTCTATTTTCCTCTGACCTAAATAATTTGGATAATTATAAGTGGTTTATCAATCGAAAATACAGAGAAATTAGGTACAGAATATTCATGTCTTGAATCAGAATTAAAAAGTAACTTTCTATCTTCACGCTGTTAACAAATATTGAATACCGTTTAATTTTCAGTAGAATTTCAATTTTCATGATTTTTCTCTCTCAAACTGATTTAATGTCTCTGTCCTAAAAATTACTACTGAATTGTCCATGAAATTTAATTTTTTTTTTCACCAGTAGACTAATGAAATGATTGAAAAATCGCCATTTTCAGAGACTGCGACGTTTTTTCATATAAATAATTCTATAATAATCCATTTTACATTTTAAGAATAATTTTTCCTGAATTGTAACGAATTTTTCCGATTTCAGAACTTCACCAAAAAACGATTTCATGCAAAAAAATTATATTTTTGGAAGGTTGAACTATTTTCATTATTCATTCCTAAGGAGGGAATGTTGAAAAAAGCAAGTTTGTGGCATTCCCTTCGAAAACCGCTGCTAATCAATGCTTTATTTTCGATCTTCTTCTAGCCAATTCAATAATGATTGAAAATCTTCACATAAAAAGTAGTCCGACTTTTTTTTCATGGAGAAAATTCAATATTCTTTGATTTTGTGGTATAAAGTATTGACTTCATTAAACAAAACCTCAAAAAACAAAAAGCGAATAAAAAAATTGAAATCGAATATTTTTAGATTTCCAATTCTTTTCATTTCATTATTGACATTCAAGTTTATCTAATTATCAATCAGTCAATCTTATTAGCTCTTAACACTTGTCACCAAAAAAAAGTTTTTCATTCCAGTAACTGTAAACAAATCCTTGTGTAGACAATATACACTGATGTATTCAATGTATGTATATATACGATGCTTGTTTCTTTTTTTCGAGGTAAGAAATCAAATTTGTAATCCTCGTGCACTTTCTTGAATAGCGCCGTCGCAGTCGCATTGCTCATCCTCATAAAAATTCCCATGAGAACTCGTCAAAAATAACACTTGCGGTGGCCGCCATGACAGTGCTCTCTTTTTTTAGATAGGACCTCATGAAAATTCCCATGAGAACTCGCCAAAAATAACACTTGCGGTGGCCGCCATGACAGTGCTCTCTTTTTTTAGATAGGACCTCATGAAAATTCCCATGAGAACTCGCCAAAAATAACACTTGCGGTGGCCGCCATGACAGTGCTCTCTTTTTTTAGATAGGACCTCATGAAAATTCCCATGAGAACTCGCCAAAAATAACACTTGCGGTGGCCGCCATGACAGTGCTCTCTTTTTTTAGATAGGACCTCATGAAAATTCCCATGAGAACTCGCCAAAAATAACACTTGCGGTGGCCGCCATGACAGTGCTCTCTTTTTTTAGATAGGACCTCATGAAAATTCCCATGAGAACTCGCCAAAAATAACACTTGCGGTGGCCGCCATGACAGTGCTCTCTTTTTTTGGATAGGAACACAAAAAAATTGATAAATCCCGGAAAACTAAGTCGAGCGACAAATCTACACTATTATTCGATTTTTTAATTGCACTTTCGGTATGACCTGATGGGAATTGGCGAAATAAGAAGGTCAGAACGAGCTGGCTGTCAGTTGTTTTGTCGTCACGCCGGGAGCGAGATAATCTAAGGCCCGGTTGGACGGATTTTTGTCCGACATGTCCCTAGAAAATTCCCCAGAAAATTGTCGAAAAAAAGCATTTTAGATGCAATGTTATTATGACTGTATCGGTTGACTAAAAAATCTGATTTTTGTTTCAAAAATCAGATAATTTATTCCGCTTGAGTGGTAATTGGTTCTGGAGGGGGGAAAATGAGTTCATATATTTTTAATATTATTTAGAAAATAACCCAAAAAAAACACCACCATCCCCCCCTAGCCAAGTCACACTAGCGTGACACCCTGTCAATATGGCGAGGGTAATTATCAAAAATAAAAACACAAATTCCAATTTTCACAGACACTGCACACTCCCGAGACCTAATTACCAGTCCGTGAACTATTTTTTACTATTTTCCGCGAGTTATTCCGAAGCAATTAGACGCCGCTAATTCCCATAAAAGACTTGTAAAAAAATGAGGCGTTCAGCTGTCGCCATACTATTTCCCTCAGTTACACGGGAATGTGCCAGATGACGCCTGCGAAACCCCCGAATGTTGAAACACCGATCTGAGGTTTGTCGAGCGAGATAGCTCAGGAGTGTAACACAATAAGGGCCCACGGGTACCAAGCATTCGTGTATCTCACTCCCACTCGTGGAAATGGAGCAACACTCCGTATTCCACAATCCTACAACCACCACAATAATAATAATAATAATAATAATAATAATAAT